GAGCAAACAGGGTCTGTAGGTCATTGCCTCCAGTCTTGTGCACCCCTGGGTGATCCCGGCCCTGTACTCCAGATTGTGACAAAGTCCCTGGGGAAAAACCAGAGACTTTCTCCTGTGTTCTGTGAGTAGGTGTGATGTGCCTGGGTTACTGCCTCTGATCTTTTCCCTTTCCCTCCATCCAGGCCTTTCTTCACTTACTGGGTCACCTTTGTGCATTCGCTCATCACCATCCTCGCTGTGTGCATCTACGGCATCGCCCCTGTGGGGTTCTCACAACACGAAACTGTTGATTCAGTGAGTAAAACCCCTGCCTTGCCTGGAGCATGGCTGTGTCTCAGCCTTCAGCCTGCAGCTGGCTGCTTGTCTCAGGGCCTTGATGGCCACACGCTGGGTGTCCAGCCTTGTGGGGCTGCCTGCAGCATCTCTGTGAGCCCCCACGCCACCTTCTCTTCCTCCTGCAGCCACGTTGCTCTTGACATGAGATTATAATCCACACAAAGCATGATGGGCTCTGTGCAGGCTCTCATCATGTGTATGCTGGGAGCTCTTCCAAAAAGCTTGTTCCCCTCTTGGTGGAGACCAGAAGGATGTTTGTGCCAGGGAAATATGTCAAACCTGGGTTAAGTTTTTCCAACGGTTGCAGGATTTTGCTTCTGCCGGGAGCAAAACTGACCTGTCCTGACTTTGAGAGCTGATCTTGGAGGTGTTTGTAGCCTTCCCACGTGTCGTTAAAGGTCTCTGGGTTATGTGTCTCCACAGCCATATCCTCACTCCATGCAGGGGATGCCCTGGGGAGCTTCTGAACTGTGTGTCTGCCAGCTGGCAGAGCACTGTCACCAGCACCCAGGCCTACACTGCTGGCAGGTGCTGCTTATGCCTCTGAGCTGTGTGAAGCTTTTAGCAGGCACTCAAGCCACTCCCAGTTCTCCAGGCCCCAGGATTTAATGAAAATTGAAGTAGCCAGAGATAGATATTTTAAGTGAAATCTTAAGATGAAGGTACCCACACATTGATGGGGGTTTACCTGTGATCCTGCAAAGGGCCAGTTCAAGAGAACCGTGTGCTTGGTCATGGGCTGTGGGGATTTCTGTTTATGCTGGGTGCTGTTTTCACCAGCCCTTGCTGCTTGCCCTGCTGACCCTGGGGGCAGGAGCTCATGGGGCTCTTGCTTTCTCTCCTTGCAGGTCTTGCGAAACAGAGGGGTCTATGAAAATGTCAAATATGTTCAGCAAGAAAACTTCTGGATCGGCCCCAGCTCAGTGAGTGCCCTTGGCTGGGACTGGAGGTGGGCTGCTTCTACGAAGCCAGGCACGGGGCTAGAGAAAATAGGGGAGTTGTGTGGTGTGTGACAGCTTTCCTGATGCCATTCCCCCTGGGAAAGGCTGTCGTGTCCCAAAGTTTCCTTTCCCAGCCACAGCGTTGGCCTTTCTGGGGCCATGGGCAAGGAAATCCCTGAGCTGTTGTTCTGCGCTTACCTTCTTCAAGCAAATACTGAGCGTATGCCTGATGGGTGTTGGGCTTCATCAGGCAGGACTTGTCCCTGGTCCCTTGGGTCTCGATAGGGGTTCCCCCAGTCTGCTCTGCCCCAGGCAGTCATCACAGGCTGTGTTTCCACCCTGCCAGGAGGCCCTGATCCACCTCGGGGCCAAGTTCTCGCCGTGCATGAGGCAGGACCAGCAAGTGCACAGCTTCATCAGCGCCAAGCGGGAGAAGGAGAAGCACTCTGCCTGCTGCGTGCGGAACGACAAGTCGGGCTGCGTGCAGACCTCGGAGGAGGAGTGCTCGGTGAGCACGGGGCCCCCTGCTGGCCTGTCCCGCCGCGCCCCCCCCGGGCCTCACGGTGACAGCTGTCCTCTCTCCTGCAGTCCACGCTGGCCGTGTGGGTGAAGTGGCCCCATCACCCCAGCACACCAATGCTGGCAGGGAGCAAGAGGCAGTTTGGGTCTGTTTGTCATCAGGACCCGAGGTAGGTCCTGCCTAGCCCAGCTGCCATACTGGGGGGGGCATGGGGCTGCTGTGGCAGCTGTGGCAGCTGTGGCACAGAGGCAGGGAGCCCCGGGTCAGCTGGCTGGGACTGCTGCTGCTCTGGAGACCAAGGGACGTGGGGACAGTGATGTCCCTACCTGCCCCGACACTGCAGCGGAGGCTGAGGCAGAGTGATCATCTTCTGCTCACTCCTAATCTCCATTATCATTGGCTTCCCACCTGCATGGTGGCCTGTTTTGAGCTGTGGGTGCCCTTCCTCATCCCTCTCCCCCTCATCCTCCTCACCTGCTCCCTACACAGGCTCCTGCCTGGGAATGTCATGTTCCCAGCACACCTCTGGCCCACAGCACGGCTGTGCCCTCGGGCACCATGGGCTGCTGTAGAGCTGAGACCAGCTGAACGGCCACCCCTGGGCGGTGGCTCCCTGGGAAGGAGCCAGCGGGTCGCTGCATGCCCTCAAGCCCTCATCTCTGCCCGCTGGAGGGGGGCTGCAGCTTTGGTCAGCTCAGCCTTGGCTGACACTCTGTAGTGCCACCAGCCCCTTGCCAGTGACAGAGGAGCTGTGGGACCACAGCCCTGGGGCAGGGACAGCCTGGGGGCTCCTGGGGGCATCCTGCCCGGTGCTGAGGAAGGTTGTTTCTGAGGCTGACCCCTGCTTTCTGTTGCTGCAGGGTGTGTGAGCAGCCAGCCTCCATGGAGCCCCACGAGTGGCCAGATGACATCACCAAGTGGCCGGTGAGCACCTCGGGGGCACAGAGCCTGCAGGGGCAGCTGGAATGTGGCACAGGCACCCCACTGCAGAGCCACAGCTGTGGTGGTGGAAGGGGTGCCACTGGTGCCACCTCCTGCTTGTTGTCACAAGCACCGGCTCAGGGCAGCTGTGGCTTCATCCAGCCAAGGCTCAAAGCCCTCCAACAGCAGGAGAGTTCCCCTGTGGCCACTCAGGCCCTGTGCCTTGCCAGGGTACCAGGGTGATAGAGACCAGCTCAGGCTGAGGGCTCTGTTCTTGGCTGCAGAGGTGTTGGCTGGGACTCAGGCAGGGGGTGTGTCCATCCTGCTTGTGGAGGGAGGCCTTGGGACACCCATGTCTGTGGGACTGGCTTCTCCCAGAGGGGCTGCTTTGACTTGACCCAGCAGCAAGCAAAGCCACAGCACTCTGACTGCAGCCTGTTGTCATTTTCCAGATCTGCACAAAAAACAGTGCTGGGAATTACACCAACCACCTTCACATGGACTGCGTCATCACAGGCCGGCCCTGCTGCATTGGGACCAAAGGAAGGTGATGAGTTTACCTGTATGGAGAGGGACAGGACATTGGGGTGAGACACAGGGAACCCTTCTGAGGTTGTAGACAGCCATTTGTCCTCCTTGTCCTTTCCACACACATCCCAGAGCCCTGCTGGGAAGGGCAGTTGGACAGGGAACCATAACAGGTCTCCCAGCCAGAGCAGGACTCTGGGAAGAGCAGGAGGTAACAGCCAGTCTGAGACTTTGGTGTGGAGGGTATCCTGTTCAATTGGTCCTGGGATTTTAAATCCCAAGGGATTTAATTCTTCTGCTGGGGAGTTCTGCACTTTGCACTGGGAAGGGCCAGTCCTGATGGGGACTCCAGGCTGAGGCCAATGTAGCCTGAGTGCTCAGGGTTTACCAAGGAGGAGGATGCTCTTCTTTCTCATGTTGCTCCACAGCTTGAGTCAATTGCCCAGTGCTTGGGCCTGGCTTTCCCTGCTAGGGAGGAAAATCAGTGCTGCCCCAAGGAGTTTCTCAGTCCCTGAGAGTCAAGACCAGTATGCTTTTGGCTGAGCTGAAGAGGCACAGGACTCCCCCAGAGACCCAGCCTCCCCAGGCTCTGGTGGTCCTTCCTCAGCTGTAAAGAGCTCAGCTTTGGTACCTGGTTTTGTTGCTCGTTTTGATTGCTTGTGCCTCCTCTAGGTGTGAAATAACCTCCCGGGAGTACTGTGAATTTATGCGGGGCTACTTCCATGAGGAGGCAACACTCTGCTCTCAGGTGAGTGTGGAGCTGGGTTTGTGGCTGCCCTCTCCTCCCTCCCCTTCCCCTGAGCAGCCTGGCAAGATCTGGGGGTGACTGCTGCAGTCTAGGTGGGAGTCAGGGTAGGGTGCTGGAGGCAGGGTTTGGTACATGAAGTGGGGAAGGAAAGCTGCCCCTCTTCCAGAGCTGCCTGCAGCCTCGGCCTGGGTAACAGCCCCCCTTCTGCCCTAGGTGCACTGCATGGATGATGTCTGTGGGCTCCTCCCTTTCCTAAATCCAGAAGTCCCTGACCAGTTCTACCGCCTCTGGCTCTCGCTGTTCCTCCACGCTGGGTAAGCAGAGGGGTGGGGCTTCCTCGGGCTGGGTGGGGCAGCCCTGGCCCAGGGAGTGCTGCGAGGGGGCTGGGGGTGCCGAGCTGCTGGCCGTGCTGAGGCTCACCGTGCTGCGTGGGCTGGGAGGGAGAGCAGAGGTGGGGGCGAGGCCAGGAGCTCCTCACAAGGCTTGGCAAGGAACACGAGCACAGGGGTGACTGGAGCGACTGCTCCTTCAGCTCCTGTACTCTGAACTTGGCAGGATCCTGCACTGTCTGGTGTCAGTCTGTTTCCAAATGACGATCCTGCGGGACCTAGAGAAGCTGGCAGGATGGCATCGCATCTCTATCATCTACCTGCTCAGTGGCATCACTGGGAACCTTGCCAGTGCAATATTTCTACCCTACAGAGCAGAGGTGGGTCTCCTGCAGAATAGGGTCCTGGTGACTTGGGCTGAACACAAGCCTTCTCTACACACTCGTGCCTCCCCGGCAGGGGCAGCAACACCAGAGCCAGGCAGATTTCTAGCTAGAAGATGCACCACACCATCACATAGGCCCTGAGCAGTAAGGTTCCCCAAAGTACCCTGGGCCTTCCAGGTGACTGGCCTGGTCTGGCAGCACTGAGAATGCTTGTAGTGACCAGGGGGGTTTGTCCAGCCATGGGATGAGAGAGCCCTTGGCAGGCTGGGCACCGAGAGCTGTAGCTGGTGCTAGAGACCCTCCACGTGGGTGTGGCAGGAAGAAGGGCAAAGAGCAGAGCTCACTTTTCCCACAGACTGTCCAGGAGTGTCCCTGTCCATGTGCCACAGCTGGAGAACTCTGATGTGACTGTCCAGCTTCACTTTACAAGACTACATGGCAGGACCTGGAGGGCTGTCTTCCAGGTCCTTCAAAAGAGCCTGGTGGGTGGGGGGAGTCAGGAGACTGCCCTCAGGCCGCCCCCCCTTTGGGGACTTGGAGCAGATCCGCCCTCCTTCCATATCAAGTGTATTCTGGCGATTGCTGGCTTGCTGGCTGCCTTGATCCTCATCAAACCAGGCCCCTCACCCCCTGAACCCGTTTCAAGGCTGGAGCTGCAGGCTGTGCTGTCGCTCTCCCCAGAAACACCCAAGGAGGAGCTGAGTAACACCTGATGCCTGGAGCTGGCTGCAGGAGCCAGGCAGACGCTCGTGCCCGATCTCTCCTCTGATGCTCTTCTTCTGCAGGTTGGCCCTGCGGGATCCCAGTTTGGGATCCTGGCCTGTCTCTTTGTGGAGCTCTTCCAGAGTTGGCAAATCCTGGCACGCCCGTGGAGGGCCTTCTTCAAGCTGCTGGCTGTGGTGCTCTTTCTTTTCGCCTTCGGCCTCCTGCCTTGGATCGATAATTTCGCTCACATTTCAGGATTCATCAGCGGTTTCTTCCTCTCCTTCGCCTTCCTGCCCTACATTAGCTTTGGGAAGTTTGATTTATATAGGAAGCGATGCCAAATTATAGTTTTCCAGCTCATCTTCATCGCGCTCTTCTCAGGACTGGTGATTCTGTTCTATTTCTACCCCATCAAGTGCGAGTGGTGCGAGTTCCTCACCTGCATACCCTTCACAGACAAGTTCTGTGAGAAGTACGACCTGGACGCACAGCTCCACTGAGGGGCAAAGGCGCTGGAGAGGGACTGTCTGTGCATTGGCTGTGCCAGTTCCACGGGGACAAAGCCTCTAATCCAGTGACACCTGTAACCCTGCCCGTGGTTAATTTAAACAAGTCTCCTTAGCACTTGGCAGGCATGATTTTGCCTTATCTCAGAAGACTCTGAAAACGGAACGTTTGTGCCTTGTTCAATTCTATTGAACCTTTTCTGCTGCCATTATTTTTATTACACTAGTTTCAATACTACATTTTTAACCGGAGTTGTTTACTACTGCTAAGGTGGTGATTAAATGGTAAGGTAGCGTTTTAGCTACTGTTAATTGTTCTGCATAGTCTGTGACTACATTTGTTACTGGAGCTCACCTAACACCCTTTCATGTACCTTCATCAGTCCTTTTCTAGCACCCAAACCAGTCAGAAGCAGATCTGCAGCTGGAAATAAGTGCCTCAGAAAATGAGAAGGTTTCTTTAATCCCTGAAAGCACATTCCACATACAGCTCAGAGGCAGACACTGCAAATAGCAACTGCAGAAAACATCTGAGAACATCCATTCAACTGGAGTCTGCTTCTCTTTGAAACGTTAGAAAGTTTTCTTCCAGGAAGGTGCTGAATCCACACTCTGGTCCTGGTAGAGCTGGGTTCTCTGTTAAGAAAGAACATATTTGGTGGTGACATTGGTTACTGCGTGCTGGGCTCTCTTGTCACCACACCCAGACAGGCCAGGGGGGTCAGCCTGTGCTGCAGGGAACTGCTGGCCAGGGCACTGTGTGCAGGTAGGTGGCTTCTGTTCTGGCACACATTTCATCACACTGGATGTTGCAAATGGGGCAGCGTTGAAAAGAAGAAAAAGAAGTTCCTGTATTAACAAAGCAACAGTCTCTAAACCAACAAGCTGGAGCTGCACAACACAAACCCAAGCAGCTGGAAAAGCTGCTGCTACCACTGCTCACAGACTGGGCGTGTTTACAGATGTGGAGGGGAAGCAGATACAATTTTAAGCTTACTAAGCTTGAAAGTCTTGGCTACATCTTGTGTTTGCATACACAACTTTATAAAAATAGTGCTATAATATCAGAAGTATGTCTACATGGGTTACAGGCAGGTAAATACACATGGTGCTAGGGCTTCCTGTGCTGGAACTGTTCTTAAATGCATCAGCAGCACAGAAATACCCCAGCCAAAGTTTGTCTAGTGGAGCGTCCTGTCCTCTGACAACACTGTGCTGTCTCAACTTAAGTTTCTATAAACGAGCAACTGGAGAAATGGGGAGTCAAAATCTACAGGGTATGTCAGCTGAGGCCCCTGGTCCTGACTCTTCATAGCTTGCAGAAATGGAGAAAAACAACTCAAAACACACCCCTGGGACATTTCTGTTAGGAGCACTAAGGAGCAGGGGAGAAGAGGCACTCAGATCTCAGCCTCTGAGCCACAGTGGAGGACCCAAGGGACCTGGGTGATGGTGATCACCTGTAGCACAGACAGCTCTGTCCTCCCAGGCATTAGGCAGCACCCAGCCCCATTCCTGACAGTGCTTCCCAGGTGTTCCTGAAGCCTAGAAGAGAGCAAGGTCCTAGAAGCAATCACACCACCAACCAAAGGAACCCTGCATTTAATGCTGAGACAGATTCAGTCTAAAGCAGGGTGAGAGAGGCAGCACTGCCAGCACTAGGACATCACTGGGGCTCCTGTCCCTGCTGGGGGTCACCCGAGGCAGCTCCAGGAGCAGCACAGGCAGCAGGGCCAGGCCATGGGCAGCAGTCAGAAAGGCTCCACCACACAGCAGCACCAGCTGCCCTGAGCCTCAGCAACAAGGGAGGAGGATGAGGATGAATTGGTGGCTCTCGATGACTATTTAAGACTTACCCACCAGGTCACTTTCGAAGCTTCTTGATGAAGCTGACCTCATCCCGGTTTCTGATGCCGTACCTGAACAGAGAGCGAGGCTGTTATGGGCCACCCTCCCAGGAACCACAGCCTGGGAAACCCTCCAGCCTCTTTCCCAGGGGAAGATGGACTCCCAGGATCACGAGCAGTGCTCTAATGCAGGACCAGTTACAGCTGTCACCTCTGCCTTTGTAACTGCAACAGCTATCACCCGTGGCTCACAGTCCTTCCAGGACAGCTCTGATTAAGGCCGTCTCGCTTATCATTTACTGCTGCAGACAACCTTTTCTCACTGGTCTGCACACAGGCTGGGGTACCCAGCAGGGAGTGCTCAGAAGTCCCTCCTGCCTCCCTGTGCCAAGAATGGGCATGGAAACGTGGGACTCATTTGTCACTGTCTGTCCCTGAGAGGTGGCTGAGCAGGCCTAGAGCCCAACACGCTCATCCTTGGTTTGCTCTTTGCTTGGAATTCTTCTTCCTACCTCTGCAGCTCTGCCGAGCCCCCTGTGAGGGTGACCGAGCACTAAACAGGCTGTCCAGAGGTCGTGCAGTGGATGTTCCTGCAACGTTCCTCAAACTTGAACTAGACACAGCTCTGAGCAACCAGCTCCAGCTGACCCTGCTCGCACAGAGAGCTGGACTGGATAATTTCCAGAGATCACTTCTCTTCTAGATCCCTTCCACCACATCATGTATCCCAAGTAGCTGCTCCCCAAGAGCTCCCAGTTTCCCTGGAGACGAACTAATGTACTCCACACACACGCTGCCATCCCTGGCCTTCTCTGTGTCCCACTCCACTCGTGCTCGTGCAGGATACTTCAAGGCCCAAGCCTAGTGAGCATAACCTGTTCTGCAGGGGTCTGACAGGCTGGCCAAGGAAGGGGCAGTACGTCCCAGGGCCTTGGTGTGGGGTTTGAAGTGGCTGAACACACTCAGCACGGGACAGTTTGCCTGAGGAACACCCTGAGACCTTCCTGTCCTGCAGATCCCCTCAGTCTGCTGGGGCAGAGCCCGTCCCACCCTTCAATTTTTGGGCAGGCTTACCTGCGCCAGGGCACAAAGTCCCAAGTTAGCCCTGCCTGGGCACATGCTGGGTGGGCTCCAGCAAGTCCTCTCCAGCCCCCCCTCGATGCCAAAGACGACCTTACTACTCACTCTCTCAGCTTCTTCCTGTCATCCGCCAGTTTCTCTCCGGCGAAGGTTAAGTGGTAGGTCCTCCAGATGTACTTCCTAGGGGAAAAGCGCTCAGGGGGAGCAGCAGGAGGAAGGGCCGGGCAGGGGGAGGTGCCGACGTCGGGGGTGAGCAGCCG